ATTAGGAAAATGGATGGGTTTGTGCAATATACAAAATGTTATATATGGTATGTGCTTTTTATTGATACAGAAACTGTTCATATTATCAATGGTTCATCAAAAGGAAAGATGAGAGCTAAACTACATGCATTTTTACGAAAGAGTGAAATAAAATGAGACGTTAAGGTCTTAGTCCCAAATTGCAAGGTGCACAGCTAAAGCTCGGTGATCTTTTCTGATCCATTTTTCATCCTGTATCATCAGTCATCTGTGAACTATTCCTCGTTCTTAACTTTTTCAAAAAATGTTGCATGACACACCAATAGCCAATGACAAACCAAACTTCTAATTGATATGGATCCAACACTCTAGGGGCTGAGCCCAGAAGGGGAGGGGAGAGTTGGCTCAAAATTCAAAGATCTTATGACCCAGATGTCCTGGAATCATAACTTTTCATGAATGGAATGGTCTTAAGGTTCTTTATCATTGTGGTAAATTTCATTATTCCCAGGTCATCCATTCTATTGTGGTGAGGGTGACCATTTTTACTAGTTTTATATAGCAAAGTAACACTTTTGTGTATGCTTAGCTTATTTTCCTTAGGCAATATTTCAAACTTGTTTGATATTATTATGAAGAGATGTCAGTTAGATGGTCTGAAAACCAAGATCATGAACTATCGCTTAGACATGAGACGTGGGATCCAAAAGGGGAAATCCTAGAATGAAATAATGTACTTTTAATGGAGGAAAGGGTCATAAGGTGCTCTATTCTTAATCCCAATTTCATCCCTCTTGGGGCATCCTTTCCTTCCCCTTGAGAAGGGGTAAAGTTATATTTACTATATTGTATGTGTATTAGAATAAGAACTTTTGTGTTTATCTTGTACATTTTCAGTAGGAAATAATTCTAACTTGGTTAGAATAAAAAATCAGATCTTGACTCACGTTTATGGGGCCTGAGGTGGGGAAATCCCTTACTGGACTCCTATGAAACTGACTGAAACCCTCTGTTCAAAAATATGTGTATTCTCTTACCCAACTTATCATTCCTGCCATATTTGATCAAATTTGGGCTATGACTTTTAAGCAGAAGCTATAAAGATGTAAATTGTTAATGGATGACTGAATATGGATGAAGACCGATCACAAAAGGTCATTTGGAGCTTTGGGTCAGGTGACCTAAAAATGCAGGTGGCGATTGTGATATATGGACAAGAAAAGTACTATCATCATTTTGTTAATTTAAGAATACACATGAAAACATTTCCTGATTGAGAGCGTGTTCTTTCTGCCACACCAACAGATTTTATGAGCCCCTACCAAGTATCTCCACAGGAAACATGTACACCTGTTAATGAGCTTTTTACGAGCCCTTACCAAGTATCTCCACAGGAAACATGTACACCTGTTAATGAGCTGTTTACGAGCCCTTACCAATTATCCCCACAGGAAACATGTACACCCTTTAAGGAGCTGTTTACGAGCCCTGTCCAAGTCTATCTCTACATGAAACATGTACACCTGTAAATGAGCTGTTTAGGAGCCCCTACCAAGTATCTCAACAGGAAACATGTACACCCGTTAATGAGCTGTTTTCGAGCCCTTCCCAAGTATCTCCACAGGAGACATGTACACCTGTTAACGAGCTGTTTACGAGCTCCTACCAAGTATCTCCCCAGGAAACATGTACACCCGTTAATGAGCTGTTTGCGAGCCCCTACCAAGTATCGCCACAGGAAACATGTTCACCTGTTAATGAGCTGTTTACGAGCCCTTACCAAGTCTATCTCTACAGGAAACATGTACACCTGTTAATGAGCTGTTTACGAGTGTTGTTTGACTATCTAACGTTGCGACATAATTTATATGATGTAATATATCAATAACTATATTATTTCATCATTACAAATAAAGGACCGTTGTAAATCTATTTTTGTTGTTCACTTTCGTTGTCATGGTAACTAATTCAGGGTATCATTACCCGGTCCAAAGCATTTTCATATATTGGTTGCAGTCATGTTTGAAAACACTGCTACCAATTTGGAGAAAAACAATCATAAGAATTTGTGACTGAATTTCAAGGTCACAAGGGGTCAAATATGGCAAAAACTTCAAGAAAGGGATATGAAACTTTGTCTCAGTTAATCTAAAAAGTTGATGGCAGCTATGCTATGTAGCTGTGATGAAAAGGAAAACATAAAGCAGATAGATATCTCTTTCCAATCAATATTTTTGATCTTTATTTTATTTATGATCACTTCTGTGGTAAAAGCATCAGTACGTAGACTGTACAGCGTGTATAGTTTCTCTACACCCTCTTCATATCAAACTGTTAAGAATATTCTCTTAAGCAGAATGTACAGTGAGAACTCTCCTTACACATAATGGAGAATACTATACTGTCAATAGTATTGCACAACCCAAAGACTGCGTCAAATTAGCCTCGCATGATCATCTCGCACAACAAAGCTTTTTGACACAACAATAACTTGACAAATCAAGACAGGATACACTAAGTATTACTAAATAGCACAATAATAAAATACGTGTGGAGCGACACCCAAAATAATATTCCTTCTGGTTTGTTCATACAGGACAAATTGCTGTCTGAACCAAATTGCCTGTCATTTCATTACACATACAAATTAAGATGTCAAAGACAATCTTTCCCATAAGGATTTTAACCTTTTCGTGTACACACTAACATACACAAATATATATCTTGTTACACACATCCTCACACACTAATTACATATTAAGTGTTTCTCCTCATACAGTTTATAGTATTTTATAAGACAAAATGTACACTATCCTCGTACAGTTTATAGTATTGCTGCTTGTTGAAACATAGCTGGTTGCATTCATGGCTCTAAATTTTATTGCCTTTTTCCTCATAATGAGGGAGTTAAAAATTACACGGATTAAAACTATGTAATGGGGAGATGTGAGAAAATCAAATTTCACCGATATTTTTTTCCTGAAGTAAACTTTCAACACACAATGTTTAGTAAAGAATGCCAACAAACAGTAAACACTAGCTTAGCCACTGAACTGTTATCAGTGTATGGATAATACAGCCATGTATCACCTGTGTACATATGAACTGACTTCATTGTTTTATAAAACAATGATAATGACAAACTAGGCTGCATTGCAGGTTATATCATGAATAATATCTACACAATTATATGAACACATGGGTCAAACTTTTGTGATCATTTATATGCCCTGTGAATTAACAAAAAAATACCATCCCATCAAAAAGTACTGGCTATATTGTATATTAGTAAATACAGTGTGTAAGTGTATATCATTTTTATCACAAACTCTTAATACGGGAATCAACCCTTCAATGTTAACTTACTGACATAGCTTACTGAAATACATGAATTATTTGACACTTGGATGGTAAATAAGACATATATGCACTAATAACTTTCGGATTAAACATTGTAGAGGGCATAAGTTTAACACTAATCACATGTCTGTATGGTAGTCTATAGCCATAAGTAGTTGGTCCCTTGGTAGTTTATTTTAATCTGTATTTAATCTTCTTGCAATTAATTGATATACTTCTGCAGTATTTGATTTTTAGAACTTTTTTTTTTATTATTGAACTTACAGGGTATAAAAAAAGGTGCAAAAGATGAGTATAGCTCTATAATGTTGGTTTTAAGCCCTTTGATTTCTAGATTTTCTTCAATTCAAATGTGTCCAGACCTTGTCCATATACTGTTTGAACACTGATGACTCTTTTTTTTATTCAAAGTGGGTTTTGGAGGAAAAAAACTATATATGAGAGAAGCAGACAAGTCAATAAATCATGTTTTTCTTAAATCTTAAAATGTTGTAAAATACAGAAAAATATCTTATAAAATATGTTTAATATTTAAATAAAAGATATAACATTTTATGTTGTTTTGATAACAATTTACATCTGCCTTCCAAATAAGAAGTTAAAAAGTTATTTCAAGAGGAAAAAACCTTCTTGAGTATACAAAGATCTATTTGAACTGGAGAAAATCTGAAAGTGGAGGGTCCAAATAATAGTAATAGATATCTTGGTCTAACTCAGGACGTAGAATACAACCTAAAGAAGTGCTTTTGCAACAGTTTTTGCATCAATACTATTGGTAATGAGTATATTTATTCATTTCTGTTTTCAATAATTGTACATGATTACCACCTTTATCCTACAATAAGCCCTGGGTGTCACATGATTACCACCTTTATCCTACAATAAGCCCTGGTTGTCACATGATTACCACCTTTATCCTACAATAAGCCCTGGTTGTCACATGATTACCACCTTTATCTTACAATAAGCCATGGGTGTCACATGATTACCACATTTATCCTACAATAAGCCCTGGGTGTCACATGATTACCACCTTTATCTTACAATAAGCCCTGGGTGTCACATGATTACCACCTTTATCCTACAATAAGCCCT